AGTAGCCGTCGCCACCATTGATCCTGCCGACCACGTATGCTGGATTCGGGTGACCATACATGAAACCGAAGCCATCGCCGCAGTCCCCTCCATGCATCAGGCCTTCGAGGATCAGTTTTCGGGAGGCGCCCCCGTGAACGGTGGTCCACGCGCCAAGGGTCCTTTCCGAGGGGATTCCGCTCCACAGGACAAGGCGCGCCAAAACCAAAAGCACAGGGAGTCTAAGAAAGACGCTCGCCGCCAGGAGCTCGACAGTCAGCTGCAGGACACCTTCAAGGCCCTTTTCCACGGCAACTTTAAAGCCGTCACTATCCTCGAACCCTGCAAAAGTCTAGGCAGGTACGGATCTGGCGTCGGAAAAAGGTCCCTGGCTGCCACTTTCGGCGTCAGTCTTCAAGCAGTTGACAAGGTCTTGGCGGGTTCGGGGCAACTCGGCGCCACCTACGACCTCAGCAACGTAGGTGCGGACGAGCCCACGGCAGACAAGTACCAGACCGTGTGGTTCCCCGAGGACCAGCCCATCACGATGGCAGAGGCGTTTCAGAAGTCGGTGGACTTCAAAGCCCTAGGAGTCGTCAGGCACGGCAAGTCAGGCTTATTGGGGATCCGTGTTGCACGTGGGTCAGACGCCGCCAAGGCCGCTGCCGTCAGCATCCGTGGCTGTGAAGCCACTCTCGCCAAGACGCGATACCGCATCACGGGCATTGCGGCACGCCATGCCACGCTGACCCAGCTTGCTAAGACTCTCACGGGCCCGTCCGTCAAATGGGACTGTGAGGTCTACCACACCGCCTGGGACCCAGCCACTTCGGCGCAGTTTGCCTTAGTGCGCGCTCATCGTCCCCCACCCACATATACGGTACAGGTCGCAGGGTGCCCCATCCCGTGGAGCATCACCGAGGCCCCGTTGGCTGAGGTCGTGCCGAAGAGGGACAACGTTACCATTGTCACCCCTACCACTATCACAGAGCCTGTGACGCCGCCCGCCCGTGGTGGCGGCTTCAGCCCCGCCACGGGCACACTCCTAACCAAAGCGGCCCAGAGCCCCTACCTCCACGACCTCATGACTGCCACGCCCAAAGGCAAGGGCGTCGCACCGCTCCCGATCCCCAAGGAGGAGCCTTTAGCCAAGCGCCACCGATCCTCCAGCGGGAAACGCGACGCCACGCCGCACGCAAGATCACACGGCCCCCCAGGCCGCAGCTCCTCTGCACCCCCGCACGGCACGGATGGAGCTGCCGAGCAGACGGCCGTCCAAGGACCAGGGGGGGACGGGCATGACCCGCAACCTGGCACGGTGGCGGCCGAAGGTGGGGGCCACACGGAAGGGCACGCTGACGCAGCCGCCGAGGTACCAGGCGACGTCGAGATCCTCTCATCAGAGGATGAATTCAGCGTGGCATCGCGCGAACCGAACACCCTCGGCGAACGCTTCGCTACGGCCCCTAAACTGTCAGATGCCGCCACGACCCGCATCCAACACATGGAACAACAGCACGAGCTGCTTGCCAACACGGTGGACAACATGCAGGTCCAGCTTGCGGGCGTTCTCTCATCCCAGGCCACACTCACGGAGCACGTTTCAGGCTTGGAACGAGGGCTTGCCACCGTCGTCACTCAGCAACAGACGGCAACTACCGAAGCTGCTGCACTGCGCGGCGACATCCAGGCCCTCCTCGGGCACCTCACGGGGGGTACCATCCACCTGCCCCAGGTGGCCACCCTCGAAACCAAAAAGGAGGAAGCTGCACCAGTTGCCGATCCCGTGGCTGTCTGCGGGTGGATCGACCAGCCAGGCCAGGTCACCCCAGGGGCGGGGCCCCCAGGGGCTGATAAAGGCAAAGACAAAGGGCGGGTCACACAGGAACCCTATTGAAGGTGCCTCAGAGAGCCCGCCTCAGCCCTCCGAGGAAGCGCCTTCAGAGGCATCCCTTCTCACTTCTCGTCGTACCTCCTCCTCGCTATATCATGTCATTTTTGGCAGC